GTGTGTGCATGCGTTCGAAACGCATCGGACGTGGTGCAAACTGCCTAGCAAGCCTGCACCCAGGCGTGTCAACGCTGCTGACGAGGTCGCCGGGCGGGGCGGCAGCGGACAGCTGCGGCCCGCTCCATTCGCGGTCGTTGCAACTGCGCCACAGCTGCAAGGGTCCGGAACGCACGTAACTGGTCATGAATCCGGCATCAGAACGGGCACGCCACGGCCGAGCCTCTCCTCATACATCGCTTCCAGCACCACATCCCCGCCAACCAACACTGCAAACACCCCCAGGTGACGTTCAGCGCGAACAACGTGCACCCCAACATCGCTATGGCGCGCGACGTCTACGCGGACCATGACAGGCGCCTGCTCGTCATCGTGGTGCGCAGCGCGGCGCGGCGCCCGGTTGCGCCGGGGTCGCACGGCGCTTGCGTGCGATGTGCGCTCACAGCGCCAGCTCATTCGGGGGGCGCCCCGCACGTGGCCTGCTGGGTTGAGAGCACCAGACACCCCGGTTAGACCGGCCAGAGCGCGGCCAAAACCTGCTGACATCCCACGATATGTGCCCCTGAAGCAAACCGCCCCGAACAACTGCCCCCCAAAAACGCCCCCAAAACCCGCCCCTATAACACGGCCGGCAGTGGGAGCTCGTTGATGGCCCCGACCTGCTGGAGCTGATCAATGAGAGGGGGGGCGCACTGAGCGAGGAGGAGGCGGTGAGGATGAGGTCGAGGCGATTGATGCTTTGAGACCAATGGATCACTGGGGCTGTTGCGCTTGTGCTTGTGCTTGTGCTTGTGCTGTGCTGTGCTGTGCTGTGCTGTGCTGTGCTGTGCTGTGCTGTGCTGTGCTGTGCTGTGCTGTGCTGTGCTGTGCTGTGCTGTGCTGTGCTGTGATGTGCTGCTGTCGAGTTGGGTTCAATTGGGGCGTGTGGTGCGGCCGGCTGCAAATTGCCATTCTGCCGTTGACGGCTGAAGCCAGCGCTCACAAACATGTGTGGTCGCGGTCACGAGCAGCTGCAACGCACCCTGCTGCTGACACGTGAGCAACTGCCATGCCAGCAGCTCCTGTTCTGGTAGACTGGCATCGCGTTTGTCGGGCGCTCACATGTGTCACCCCGCCCAACCCTCCATCATCTTCTGGTGCTTGCTCAGGCGTTCTACTTTGCACAGGTAAGGGCATCTGGATCCACATGGCAGTCATATGTGTGCGCAGCAAGGAACAGGAGGCAGATAGGTCGAAGCTGGGAAAGCGAGCAGAATACCAAAGGGCTGCGGAGGGATGGGGCGCCGCGCTATTCCTGGCAATAGGATGGTCCGTTTCTGTTTTCTTTCAGCAAGCCCGCAGCTGATTGATGCAACGGGCGCCGTCAGAACGATGCACCAACTTTCGGGACCGGATGGACCGCTGAGCCTGAACGCACACGTTTCACAGGTGCTGAAGGCTGTGGCCTACATGCACGAGTGAGCAGCGGCGGCGAGCCACACATGGGGTCCCACCAGGACGCCCCCCGCCCATGACTCATATTATGTGCTGATCTGCAGAGCCCTTACCATACACCTGTCCGTCGCTGCCCTTGCTCACCCCCTTACTTCCTCTTGCTGCACCCGGGAACTTGCGTGTTGTACGACACCACCCCGCTGCCTCACTAAACATGACAGCTGTCCGCCTTCCTCATTACATTTGTCGGACCCGCCGCCCTCGCCCCAGCTGCCCCCATCAACCGCCTCCCCCCTGACGCCCCATTTCCTCGCACCCATACTGCCCGCGTCAACGCAGCAATGGCTACGCCCACCGGGACCTGAAGGTGATGACATCATCATGACATCATTAGCAAGCCGGACCTCGGACCCACAAGCAATGCGAAATGGACACTGCGGGGAACGGGGCCCCAGCAAAGCTGCCGGGCGGCACGGCAGTCGGCACTGCCACGCAGCATCAGCGTACACCTCAGCCTGCCGTTCAGACGGCGCACGCACACCCATGCGTGCGCGCACGCACGCACGCACGCACGCACACGCGCGCATGCACACACACACACACACACACACACACACACACACACACATGTATACACACACAAGACACACGTACGCGCGCGCGCTAATCTATGTGGCAATTCATCCCTCCAAACGAAAACCTGTGCAGCTCGAGAATGCCGTCATCCAGCGCGCCACCCACGCAGTGAAGGTCATCGACTTTGGCCTCACCAAGCACATCGAGAGCGCCAGGACCATAGGCATTGGCACGCCAGGTGCGACGGGCAGCCCAACCCTCCAAACCCCCGGCAGCTGAGCTTCGCTGCAGCCCCTTGGCCCTAAACCCTAAATTCTGATGAGAACCAGCACCCCCGCCGTCAAGCGCTGCAACTCGCCCCAACAACGTACACTCAGGCCCGCTTGCACCCCGATCAGGCCCGCGCCTCCCATGGTCCCTGCCCCACCCCAATCGCCCGCGTCTCGCCGCTCATACAACCACGATCTGCTCTCTCGTGCGCCACCCAGAGCACATGCCCCCAAAGATGACCACCAGCTATCCATGTCGTAGTGCGCCCTCGCCACCTGAAGGAGTACATGCCGCCCCACCCCAATCGCCCGCGCCCGCTCCGCCTCGCTAATCTTGGACCATGCAAACCTCGGACTGCGCGTGCGACGCCCACCACTCGTAGAGTACATGTCACCCGAGATGATTACGGGCGGCGCGCCCGACGCGGCGGGCGGCCCCGGCTTCCAGCCGCCCGCATACTTCCAAAACGGCGCCGCGGCGCTGCCCTACGATGCCCGGAAGGTGAGCGGGCATGTGCTTGAGTGACGGCTGGGTGTGCATGTAGAGCGGATGGTTTCGCAGCCAGGTGGGATAGTGCTTGAGGCAGGCGAGCGGCGTGCGTGTGCGCAAGAAGGGAGCTGGTTTGTCAAGTCAATCAGTGCTGTCACGACGAGTCCGCCGGGGCCGAGGGACGGACAAAAGTGCGTACATGGCTGCAAGGACCCGGGGCGCGCCGCGTCCGTTGAGATGTGCCCCTGCGCCCGGGGGTCGTCCTCCTGTATCTGCGGCCTGCGCACCGCGTCATCAATCGCCGCGCCGGCTGAGCAGCCGCAGCCGCGCCTGCGACCTCCGCGCGGCCTCGTTTCGCTCGCCGCGCGATCCTGTGCTGACCCGCTCTGGCCCGGCGTCCGCTGCACGCACCCAACCCAAATCCCGCAACCCCCAGCTGCGACCCGCCGGCCTCGTATTCCTGACTCAGCACCCACTCCCTGGTGGCTGGCCCCCATCGCCAGGTGGACACCTGGGCTCTGGGGGTTCTGCTGTACGTCCTGGTGTCGGCTCAGTACCCCTTCTCGGTGGGTCGCGGCCGTCCACTAGACAATGTTATGTCGGCTTTGGTGCTTACTAAGCGCGTTGTGTATCGAGGCGCCCTCTCTCAATGCGCGCGGGGGCAGCGCTATCTTGATTGGAAGCTCGCGTGGTTTGGAGCGGTTTACGTAAAGGTGCCGACTGGTGCACGGACCGCCGAGCTCCGTGCCTGACGCCTCTGCCCGACGCCCCCGCGGGCCTGCGGGCTGGCCATGGCCCTGGCCCCTCCTCGCCGCGCCGCGCCCGCCGCAGGACCCCAACCGGCCCGGCGGCGCTGAGAGCAACATCGCGGCGATCCTGCGCGGCCGCGCGCAGCCGCTGCCGCCAAGGGTCACCGCCGAGTGCCGCGCCCTCATCGCGCGCATGCTCAACCCGGACCCTGAGGCGCGCGCATCTCTCGAGGTGTGGGCGCGGGCCGCCCTTTGCGCGTCACGTCTCACAACAGGGCGGCTCGCTCTGTGGGCTTCATGGCAGCGACAGGGTTTGATGGCGCATGCATGGTGGCAGGCCAAGTGATGCAGGGTGGCCCTCACGCTTTGGAGGCAAGAGTTGCTGGCCGGGGAGCAGGGGGAGGGGAGCGTGTGATGGAATCCGCAGGCGCTGCTTTTGGGGGGACGCACACCTGTGTGATGCTGCGGTGCGGGCTGACAGACACTCTGCCTGATCGGCCGACCCGAGGCTTGCAGCACTCAGCGATTACTGCCCAGCGCATCAGACACGCAATGCCCACCACCGCCGCTCGGACACGCATCCCTTTTCCTCCGGCCCGCCTTCTCCCAAAACCCTCGTCACGCACAATCGCCCCCAGGACATCGCCGCCACCCCCTGGCTGCTCCGAGGCGCCGCCGCCCACGCCGCCCGCGTCGGCCGCGGGGACCTCGTTTCCGCCCCCCTCGTCGACCGCTCAGGCGTCCCCCGCTCCCTGCCGACTGTGAGCAGCTCCGGCTACACCTCTATGACAGGCGGCGGCGACTCGGTCACGCCGCCGCCGCAGGCCGCAGCCGCGCCGTTTGGCGGCACCTCCGGCGCGACGCCGGCCGCCGCGGCGGCTGCGTCGGCGCCGGCGGGGGCGGAGGCGGGCGGGGCGCGGGACGAGCGAAAGGGATCTGGGCGGGCGGCGGAAAAGGGGGAGACGCGGAAGAAAGACGGGGAGGCGCGCCGCAAGGCGAGCGGCCGAGGCGGCGGAGGGTGCTGCGTTGTGTGCAGCCCCGTGATCTAGATTGTTGATTTATATGTATGCGGGGGATGCTGCCATCGACGGTCTTGACACGGCCGGCCTTGATATTGCTGAGTCAGCCGCATGGTCCGCTTGCGGCGCGCAATGCATGGGAAGGAGTGATATTGATACATTGTGCCGGGCTGCAACCAGCGTGAGTGGCAGGGCTAAATCGTTGGTTGCAGCCCGGCGCGACCAGCCGGCGCACCAACAGACGCCCTCAACACCCGCTGGCCGCAACCCCGCAACTGCCCGCAGATCTTCCAGATCTTCGGGTTCGACTCGCACTGACTCATCTGTTAGCGGCTTGTAGCGGCTGCGGATGCCGTTGGTTTGAAACGCTTGTAGAAACGCCTGCCAGTGTCTGTCGTGCCTTGGAGTGGCTCGTCACAGGGTGCAGGTTCAAGATGTTGAAAATCAGGTGCATTGCACAGCTGGTACGGGCTGTGCACAGGGCTGCTTGACTGCAGCTGGAGAGCATTTTGGGGTGCGCAATTCCCCATTGGCCTGCTTGGTCTCGCCAGTGGTGCCAGCTGTTTGGATCGTGGGGCTGGGTGAGGAGCGTGGGGTTTGGAGGTCCAGCTGTCGCTGGGACGCTCGCTTGCGCACGCATGGCGTGGGACTTTTCTTGCTCAGAGGCATGCGTGAGGCTCATCTTTTCAGGATCGCACGTGTGCTTGCTTTTACTGTGCGGCAGGGCCATCAAGAAGCAGCACTCCTTGAATTGCTGTTGCAAGCAGGTTCACTGCAGGCAGCACTCATAGCCCAGCTCGCTCGCTGGCTGCTGTCCTTGCTTTTGCTGTCTGCAAATGCATTTGCCGCGCCAGGGCTGCTGCAACGACTTGAGAGGCCTTGAATCAATAGGTTTCATGTAACCACTCAGCACACTGTCCTTGATTTGCCGCAGTTTCAACTGTGGGCAAGTTGCCCATTGGGAGTTTCCAAAAGTGCACATGGCGTGTTAGTACAGCAATTCCGGGTATGAAAACATCTGGCTTGCCACAAGCAACACGGTATGGTAACATTGTCCAGCTGTTCTCATTGCTGCATAACCGCGTGCATGGAGATGATACCAGGTGTTCAGGGCAAGTGGGCTGGCAGTTGGCTTGACCACGCACGCGCAGGTGGCGCGTTGCGTAGTGCTTGGCTGCTGACCCTGCGGGATGCATGGTGGCACTCATGACCACCTGCTGCTGGGCTGCGATGAGCGGCCGCCACCCACCCGGCTGTGTGCGGCAGGGGGCGTTACATGCACATCATTGCAAGCCTGGATGCTGGGGTGCGGGTTGAATCGCGAGTGCTGCATCATGCACTGCCACAGTCACGCTGAGTCGCTCCAGCTAATTATCTCGTCCCCGCCGAGCAGCCGCTGCTGGTGGCAGTGGACGCCGCGTCTACGCAGCTGTAGCACCAGTGGCGGTAGTACCAGTGAATCACAGCCATCACACAGATTTGTAGTTTGCATGTTGACGTTGAACCAGCCAGCTGCAGGCTAAGTAAACAGGGGCATTGTGGCCTTGAGTGGTTTTCTTTACCGGCAAGCAGGTAAAGGGGACAGCAGGAGCAATCAAACGCACACGTACAGCAGTCTTGAGCGTGGGACTTGGCACACACAGGCTCTTTCAAACATTGAGCCCCCGAGCTTCGAGCTCTTCGGCAGTGTCAGAACATGCAAACAGGAGACTATGTATAAGAGCCAGGGAACATGTATAAGAGGGAAGCACAGGCGGCGTATGGGCCGGCTGGACAGGTTTGGGGTGCCGCAAGCGCAACGCGGCGGCTCCGTAGGTTGCTCGTTGATTCTGTCTGAGTGCCGCGCATGGACAGCGGCGGCCGGCGTATGGGCCGTTGATGAATCGGATGTTTCGTTGTGTAAGTCATGACAAAAGCACGCACATCACGTCACAGGTCACCAGCATGACATGCATGACCACCGGCGGCTTTAGTCATCTTTTCGGCCTCGTCATGGTTTGAGGGAGCGACGCAAGATGGGACAGAGACTTGGAAGCCGAGGGTAGGGCGGGGTAGTATATCACCAACTAAGCAGCGCACGTCATCAGGACTGTGCTCGCCTCTGGCAAGCGCCAAAGCGGCCAGATACAAGGGCCGAGAGAACCGACAAACAATGCACTGGAAGCGGGACGCATTGCGCTGCTGTGAAACGAGCGCCGCGCTTAGTCAATTCGCTGCGCCCACGTCGCGGCTGCAGGCGGACAGCCCACTTGATGCCAACATCAGACAAGGGCCATCACTGAGCGCATGCCCAGAAAGCGCCGCTTCTGGGGGCCCGCCGGGGCTGCGGCCGCATCGCCCGCGCAGCCGCGCCCCTTGCTCTTCGACTGCACCCCCATCAGCGCCTCCTCAAACCAGCCAGCCACAACCCGCCCCGCCGCCTTCATATCCCCCCACATTTCCTTGAAGACGCGCGCGCCGGCGCCCTTGCTGCTGCTCTTGGGCGCGTCAGCAGCGCCTGCGCAGCCGCAGTTGCTGCTGCTGCGGCCGCGGCCGCGGCCGCTGCGGCCGCTGCTGCCACTGCCGCTGCTGAGGTGCGCGCCGCGGGAGCCGGCGTCGAGCGAGGGGGTGGCCGCATCAGACGCCTGGCTGCCGGCCCCAGCGCCGGACTGCAGGCGGGACAGCCCCTGCTGCCCCTTGCCGGCCTGCAGCGCAAGCAGCTGTTCTGTCAGCGCCTTGAGCTGCTGCCCCATCTCGCCCATGCGCGACTCCAGCCGCTCCATGCACGCGCGGGCCTCCAGCCGCTCGTCGAGCAGCTGCTGGCGTGCGTCGTCGCGCTCAGACCGCACCAACTGGATCTCAGCGGTCAGCAGGCTGATGATGGCGGCGGCGTCGCCGTCCGCGGCAGACAGGCCGGCGGACAGGCTGGGGCTAAGCGGGGCGCAGGTCTCCGCCACCTGCTCCCCCAGGCGCTCGCTCTGGCGCGGCGCCGGCAGCTGGGCGGGGCCGCTGCCGAGCTGCGTGGACGGCGCGCAGGCCCCAGACTCCTCGCCCGAGGCGGTGGCGGCGGCGGCGGCGGCGGCGGCGGCGGCGGCGGTGGCGCCACCCTCGCCCTCACCCTCACCCTCAGCATTGTCCTGCTCATCATCCAGCCTCGGCAGCGGCGGCGCCGCCGCTGGCTGCTCCTCAAAGGACTGCTCGCCCGGCTGCACGCCGCACCCCTCGTCGTCCTCGCCGACGGCGGGCGCGATCAGGGGCGCCAGGCAGCGGCGGCCCCATGCCGTGTCCATGAGCTGGCTGATGGTGGGCCTCTCCTCAGGGTTCGGGTGGAGGCCGGCCCGAATGAAGTCCTGCAGGTCGGGATCAAGGTAGTCCCAGGCGGGGGCGTCCTCATAGGCAGTTGGCTGCTCCAGCACCACCTGGGCATCATAGGGGTCCCAGCTGCCGCCGGGGACGCGTGGATAGGGCTCGGGGTTGTCCATCTTCACGTAGAACGGCGCCTCAAACGGGTTGAAGCCGTCCAGGGCGATGGTGGCGATGCTCAGCACGGCGCCCCAGACGTCGAACGCGGGGCCGAGGGTGGAGCCGAGGCCGCCGGGGCCGCGGGCGTCGGCGCCGCTGACCACGGTGGCGTGCGCCTCGGGCGGCATGTAGCTGCAGGAGGTAGCCAAGAGCTCGCCGGAGCCGATCTTGGTCACTGCGGATGGGTTTTGTTGGTGGGAGGGAAGGCTTGAGATGGTCAGTATACAAGTGGCTTTTGCCAGGATATTTCAGTGCTGTCACGATCTCTCACAATGATTGCAGACCGCGTTCGTCAGGCAAATGGATTAATCACACCCATATTTACGTCCCCCTAGCTGGCGAACAAAACCCAGTCGCTGCCCGGGGAACGCCCAGCGCCCCGGCCCGTCTGCCGATCCTATTCGCCGACAAGCGTGCATGCAAAGCGTGCGTGGCCGCTCACAACCCCACCACGCACAAGCCGCGCGCGCGTTCCCAGACCCACCTGCTCCAAAGTCTGTCAGCTTCACGGGAAAATCACGCGCCTTGAGCGAGGCGGCCCACAGCAGCTGCTGGGGCTTCATGTCGTTGTACGAGTAGCCAGCCTCGTGCAGGTGGTGCAGCGCGAGCAGCAGCGTCGCCGTCGCGTGAGCCGCCACGGCCGTGTTGTGCGCCGCGCCCTCTTGCGTGCAGGACCTGTCAATGACGTCAAAGATGGGAGCGCCGCCGTAGTCGAAAACGAGGTGCACTTGGCCGGTCTCGTCATCATGAACGACGTCGCGCAGGGCCGGCACGGCGGGGGTAGAGATCCGGCGGTGGGCGTCCACCTCAGCCTCCAGCATGGCGAGCTGTTGGGAGGTTCAGGAGGTTTTGAGGGCCATCGTTGGGTCAGGGGCGCAGCTGGGGGTGTGGGGCCGGGTGGGCGGCAGGCAGTTGAGTGGCTGCACGAGACCAGAGCCCGGGTGCCACAAGCGCGTTGGGGCTTGGGGTGCTATCTACAGGGTGCTGCTGGGGCATGCAGCTGGCGAATCATAGAGACAGCATCGCGCTTCAGGCCAGCCGTCAGCGGGGCGTGCCTGACTGCGTGCGGGCCGTAACGCGCGGCGGCTGCAGCGCGCTGCGTGACGCGCTTGGATGCAAGCGCCCAGCAGCTGGCGGCGCAGGCGCTGCGCAAGTCCGGCAGCTGAGCTGCGCCTGCTGCTCGCTCACCACGGTGCCGCTCTCGCCCTCCAGGAAATCTTTTGATAGGCTCTTGATTGCAAAGTACTCTCCGGTGGCGGCCAGCTGGTTCCACACAACGCGGGTTGGGCCGTCGTAGTTGGCGCCCGCCTCCTCCGGTGGGTAGACGTGGCCGCCGCCTTCGCCCCTGTACCAGGGCCTGCGGGAGTGACGATGATACAGCGTGTTAGACCTTCTGAGACGGATCTAAGGGGCGGAGATGGGCGCCAGAGCTCGACCCGGGCCTCACCAGGGCTGTTTTCCGATGGGCCTTGCGGCCTGGAACTCGGGGATGCGTGACATGGTAGCTGTGTGTCGTTTTACTCTGAATAAACCTGATTTATTCAGCTCCGCAACAGTTTAGGGCAAAGAAGCGTGTTGCCGGAGGAAAAGCCTGCCTTCGCACGAACCCGGTGCTGACCGGTTTCGTCCAGTCGCAGCCAAATTAGGAACGCCCGTGAGGTGCCAACATCATTTTACCATATAAAACTTGCATGGCACACAGATCTCAACCAACGCGGTGGTTGCCCCCCCTGCTTGTCCTGGGCTGCTGACAAGGCAAGCACAGTGCATTACCAGTACTGTGAGGCAGCCTTGCCATGCTTGTCCTTGGCAACCTTCTTAGTTTCGGAACAAACGACCACGGCTTACACTGTCAAGTATTGAACGGAGTGGTCATCGCCGCAGGGCCTTGCGCCCCAGGTGAGCCTTCACGGCACACGGGTAAATTGCTTGCGCAGCGCTGGCAGCTGCAACGTTGCAGACTAAGGTCCTGTTCCAGAAGCACCCAAGGGCGCGAGGTTGGACTGACATGGACTGCGTGAGGTGGTAGGGGGCAGAATCGAACCAGCTGTCAGTTTGATTCCTGGAATCCCTTGTTATAGCTTTGCATGGTCACACTAAGTCAATGCTGGGTACGGCAACGGCTTGGACAATGCAATAGTCGCAGCCATCAAGCGAAAATCCAAAGACGCTGTCTCTCAAGAGATCCACTATGCTGCCAACACCCAGCAGCAGCTTGAATGCACTCACAACAGCACACCGGCTGGCAGGGGGCGGCGACGGCACTAGTTGCACCACTCAGTCAAGGAATCAGCGTCAAGCTTTTGTAGTAGGAACTCAGCATACGGGATCTCATTCAATCGTATGTCAGAGGGAGGGGGCTGGGGTGGCATGGCCCTGCGCAGCTGGTGACTACTGCTGGTCAACAACGTCAATGTGTGCATAGCCCCTTGGAGCCACGGCATGCCGTACACGCGCATAGGTTACGTCAATACATCACTTGCTGGAACGACAGGTATCTGCTGCAAAGAAGAGTCATGCGGGGCGCGGCGCCCGCCAGGCCACAGCACCCTGCGGCCGCGACGACACTGCCAGGTCGCATCGCCAGCAGGTGACTGTCCGTCACCCGTTTGCGAGGTAGCGCACCTTGAAAAAATGGCTCAGCACACTGAATCAACGTCTGGGCGTGGAATCCATTAGACGTGAATGCACAGCGATCTTGGTGCCGGGACACCGATCTCGGCCTTAGGCCAAGTTGTACGATTGTTAGGCACTGGTTTTCCGGTAGGCTGAACCTTGGCCATTAGCAACCGCTGTCGCTTGCGCACAGTTGCCCTGCAGCAGCTCGCGACGCCCTGCAGCAGCGCGTCGCGAGCAGCGGAGCAGCAGGCGCACCCGTGCCACCAGCTGAGCTCGGAGCTGCAGCACGCAAAGGCAGCGGTGGGAGGGGGCCAGCCTCAGACGTAATGTGGCCTTCGGCGCCGGCGGGGCGCGGGCGGCAGGCGACCATGCCGGCGTGGATGACAGGTGAGTCCCTGCAGCTGCACCCCCATAGCTCGCTTGCGCTTCGCGTGCTGCCAGCCATTACTATCAGCTTGCTGCTGGGCCCGCTGCTCATCCTATTGGTCTGCTACCTATAGTCTAATTTGAGGCTGTGGCCGCAGCCAACATGCAGCAGCCGCACCCAGCAAACGCACGGCCGCCCGCCCGCGCCCGCCCCTCAGGCGGCGGCCTCGCGGCTGCGGCGGCGCCCGCGGCCCCCGGGTCCTCCGCCGGCGCGCCTTCGCAGCAGCAGGTGCGGCGGTGGCCGGCCCGCTTGGGTCGCCTGGTGCGCCATGCATGCATGAGGCCAAAACGCGCGTGTGCGAGGCTGAGAGCATGCCATGCAAACCCAACATGCTGCATGCACCTGTTGACGCCCCCTTTGCAGCCGCCCGGCCCAGCACCACCTGTTGCCGGCGTCCCGGCGCCCGGCAGCGGCGCCGGCGCCGGCGGCAGCATACCGCTCCCGAAGCCCGCGGTCGCTGCGCCGCAGGCAGCCAGCTACCGCGCGCCGCTCTCCCTCGGCGCGGCCGCGCCGGCCGCGGCCGCCCCCGGCGCCGGCGCCGCGCTCTCGCC